AGAGGAAATAAGACTCTCCTTGGTAGCACATGCAGAAGCTTTTAGTTCTGTTATTCGGCACTTGAGACGTGCTTCTGAGGTTCTGAGATTATCCCTTTCCTTGATCACATTTTTTATTGTAAGGAGGACCAGCCAACCAGCTTCCCTGTCCTTCTCAGCCTGACAAAACTGCTGGAAAAATTCAAACACATGATCCCCCAGAGTCTCTCCTCTCACCATCACTTCATCTATTGGTGGTGATACTGTGGGTATTAGCTTTGCTACTTCACGCCAGGGATTAACACCACCCACTCTAGTAATAGTGGCAGACTTATCCATGCCTTTAGGGGTAGAGTCAGCATTATCAGTGCTGTTAAGCCTTATCATACTGGAGAGCCAATTTGAGAAGCCCATATTTATGATCTTGTTTCTCTAGAACCACTCCCAGTACTAATTATGTAAGATAGGTTTCTCTAGAGAAATACAACCAGGACACTTATGATTGTATGTGTGTGTAGATAGATAGATAGATAGATAGATAGATAGATAGATAGATAGATAGATAGATAGATATAGATAAATGCAGCATGAAGGAATATACCAGCTAATTAGTCCACACAGCAGTACAGAGGGCTCAGTACAAATCAGTTCCAAGGAATAGTTAATATATTGGAAGTCCTTCAACTCACGAGGGCTGCTGGGTCCAAGGTCAAGGAAGCAGACAGCTGAGTCCTCGGGCAATGCAGGCAATCTGCCCACAGGCAGCAAACAGCAGGCTGGGTCACCAACAGCCAGCAGCTCAGGAGCTTAGCAAAGCAGGCCTGGATGGGATATCGAATTCAAGCAATGCAAAAAGACAGAATCTGCCAACATCAAGCTCAAGCAATGTATACACCAGTAGCGTGGCGAAGCAGGTCCTGAAGGAACCTCAAGGTCTAGCGACACAATCCATGGGTTGGCTGTCCCACAGGTTGAGGCAGAGAACTAGCTAAAGCAGCCTCACGCTGGTCCAATCACCAGAGAGCAAGTGAGAGAGGGGCGGTTCTTGCTGAGCCATTTATCTCTTTGCCCTTCAATCAAACTGTGACCTGATTAATCCCACATGTTCCTATTGGCCAGGTTGGCACAATAAACCTACCTATCAAAGGCAGCAAATCAGTTGTTAACTTATTTGAATCCCACCACCGGATACCTCTATAAGTGAGTGGACACCTGTGCTGAAGGATAAAATGGTGGCAAGTGGAAATGAGAGCCAAGGACAGGCCTTTAAAGGAACAGAGCAGCAGGAGCCCGTCAAGAAGCATAGGAAGGGCAGAATGGGAAAGAGCGGACTATTCAGAGCTGCAGAGGTGAAGGGAGGACTGGTAAAACACAGTCAACTTGTGTAGGAGCAGGATGGTGTAGCCACAGGGGCTATGGATGCTGAAGGGTCACATCCTCTTGTCAGCTTTCTGGAGGCTGTCCCACCCCACACTAAGGCATCCAGAACCTTTCTTCTTCTGTTTGGCCTAAGCACAGGTGCCCTTGATGATGGGCTAGCCACCAGCTGTGACTTGCGTGTCAGTTTTGTGCTTCAGATCAAATGTTCCCTAAGAGAAGGACCCCGTGGGGTCTTCTAGCACACTGGGTACTGAACAGGACTCAGAGAGGCAATTAAGGCAGCCTTCTGAGGGAGTCACTTCAGGTGCATGTTGCAAAGGAAAGTAGAAATTATAATGGACTATGGAAGATACAAAGGAGCCCTAAGGGCGTAGTGGTTATGCATTGGGCTGCTAACGGAAACGTCAGCAATTCAAAACCATCAGCCACTCTGAAAGAGATAGATGGGGCTTTCTATTCTCATAGAATTACATTCTGGGAAACTCACAGGGGCCGCACTTACCTGTTCTATAGGGTGGCTATGAATTGGGAGTGACTTTGGTTTCTGGTGTGGAAGATGGAAATAAAATTTCAGGAGCACTTGATCATGGGAGAAAAGGGCTGGAGGTCCTGAGGAAAAGATTCCAGACAGTTGCATCCAGAGAGACGTGAGGATACATTTCCACTCCAGAGTAGGAGAGATTGACCCAGGTTTCTAAACCATGATGAAGGAAGGCCTGTGGAGAGGAGAGAGTGCAGATGCAGGAAGCAGCAGTGAGTATTAATTGATGGAGTGAGAACTGAGGAGGGACTGGTGCCCACAGGGGAGGATGACCCTCTGGCAAGAGGGCAGGAGATGAGTGAAGATTAAGAAAAATGGGGAGGTGAGAGGCGGAGACAGTGAACAGCCTATGAGGAAGGAAGCGATGACCTAACTGGAGGTGGGGGGAGGGAGGACAAACAAGTAAAAAAAAAACCCACTGGCCGTTAAGTTCTGACCCTGCCATTTATCAGTTGTGTGACCTGTGGCAGGTGACTTAACATTTCTTAAAGCCTCAACTTCCCCATCAGTAAAATGGGGGCATGACCTACCAACTCAAGGTGGCTGACCCACTTTTTTGCAAGGACTTTCTTGTCATATTCTTTTTGTTGTTGTTGTTGCTGACTTGACATTATTTTATTTGGGGCATGTTTTCCTTGCAAACTCAAGACGTTGGTAGATGGCTTGGATCTGATGAGCAGCTTAAAAGGTGGTTCGTCAGATGCTGAAGAAGGTAGTAATGCCAGAGCCTGGTGAGGGAACGGTCACAGGGCAGGGAGATGGCCCAGTGAGGCCCTGAGAGGGAGACCTGAGACTTGGATGAACCAGGCCCCCGCTCTGGAAGGGTGTTTGGAGACGTGTAACCGCAGGCTTCCTCTCTGAACTTCTCTCGGCAGGAGAAGCCAGGGGGCCTGTCTTGAGGTTCTCGCTTCCCCAGAGACCTTGTGGTGGACTTTAGAGGGTCCCTGGGCTACCAAAGTGTGGATCTGCACAGACAGACCCATGGGTCTGCTTTATAACTGCATCCCAGCCCAAAGATCAGGCGTCCCTGTCAACCAGTGAGGAGCCCTGGTGTCTTAGTGCTAACACATTGGGCTGTTAACCTCATGGTCAGCAGTTCGAAACCACCAGCCTGCTCTGTGGGAGAAAGACTAGCCTGTTAAGAGTAAACCCACAGTCTTAAAGGCTTGAAGTCAAACAGGCAGCCATTTAGCAAGGAAGCAACAAAGCCGACGTGGAGGAAGCACACCAGCCTATGTGATCTTGAGGTGTTATTGGGATCAGATATCAGAAGATCAAAGATAAACAATTATATCGATCTGAAGGAGAGGGGTCAGCGTGGACACTCAAAGCCTGCCTGTAGACAATTGGACATCCCCGCACAGAAGGGTCACATGGAAGGGACGATTCAGCCAGGGTGCAGTATAGCACCAACGAAACACAATATTCCTCTGGTTCTTTAATGCTTCCTCTCCACCCCCTACCCCTATCATGACCCCAGTTCAACCTCACAAATCCTGCTATACTGGAGTATGTACATCAGTACAGATAAGAGCTTTTGGCACATAGAAGCCAGGACAGATAAACCTCTCAGAAATAGTAACTGGAGTAGTGATACCATGAGGGGAGGGGCAGGGGGAGAGGGGACAGAGGGGGAACTGGTAGCAATCATGGATCTATAACACTCCCCCCCAGGGGGACAAATAACAGAAACGTGGGCGAAGAGATACAGCAGACAGTGTAAGTTATGAAAACATAATAACAATACAGTAGAACCCTGGACCTCGACACTAATCCATTCAGAAGGAGCGCCGAGATGCAATGCAGTCAAGTTCTGAGTCAATTTTTCCCATAAGAAATAACTGAAAATGGATTAATCCATTCTCAACCACCAAGTTTTTACCCTAACCTTTCCTTTTTTTTTTTTCTAACCTTTCCTTTTTATATTAAATATTACACAGAAATGTCAAAGTAAGTAAGTTCAGAGTTAAATAACATAATTTAAATGAGAAACACAACATTGAAAAAGTTAACAACTACAGTATGGCCCGTACCTTGAGACGGATGAGGATCTGGATCTATGGACACGGTCGTGGAGAGGAGGGAGGGAGAGAGTCAGTGTTTGGAGAGGGAATCCCCTTCCAGAAAATCAACTGGTAGCTGCTTTTCAGGAGTTTCTTCCCTTCTTTGCATTTTTTCACTAGGACATGGCTGGATTTCTTTAAAGAAAAAATCTGTCTAATGTGGTCTGCTGTTGGCATTTCCTTAACTGTTTTCTAAAAGGGTTTACTAAATTATCAACAATATCGATAACATGGCTAACCAGTTCCTTATCACGATGATTCTTTAAAAAAAAAAACACCTTTCTTCGGACCCGTGTTTTCTATCTAAAAACAGGACAAAAAGCTACAAACACTAAGAAAATGATAGCAAAACGTTTGAAACACAGCCGCAACAGGTTTAAACAGCGCGTACTAACAACGCCAACTAACGCCATGTGACCGAAACACGACCTGCTTTTGTTGACAAGCATCACGGGCTTTGGGTCAGCTGCGATGTTTTGTTCGATGCAAAATTTTCTTTCGTGTGGAAATCCTGTTCTGTTGAGTCCTGAACCCTTCTATTGTATGTGACTGCCCCAGGGTTC